CAATCAAGCCTGTGTAAAAAAGGGTCGTGGGAGTTATGTGTACGCAGGGGCTCCCATGGGGCTACACAGCTGCTGGGGATCCTCGGGGAGCCTTCAGGTTGCAAGCTGCATGTATCTGTGCGCAGTGGTGAACGGCATTTCGACAACTAACTACAGCTGTCGCGTTCCAGAAAAAAGCTGATCACCCTACTCCCTAAACCCTAATGCCAGCAAAAAAGTGTCTGGCAGGCCACCCAAAATGCCCACGCCGCCTCCGGGCTGTATCAGCTCTGTCGCCACCGTGGCAACTGGCGACCTGTGCCACACGGTTTAGATAGCCGGATGTTGCCATTATCGCTGGTTACTACTAGTAGCGTGGTTCGTAGAAGTACTCGAACTATTGCCACTTGTTTTGTCTTGTCAGAAGCATCCCTATTGTTAGCCTGGGGTGCGTTACTTGGTGCTTCCATTGCGGCTATCTCATTGCTTATCGGCACGGTAGCCCGAAATGCAACAGCACTAACTCGAAGCCAACAGAGCCTCCGTGGATGGCACAGGCAGGCGACCCCTTAAACCACTGAGCCTAAAGCCCCAACAGCCGGTCTACAGTTGATTTTCCTTGCGCACATGCTCATGGCATAGTTCCGTAGCCACTCGCCGAGGGTCCAACTCAGGTATAGAAAAGTGGTGGATGCAGAGTTTCAAGACGAGGCAGGGCTTCGACTGTCTGCCCCAAGTCCTGAGACCGCCAGGGCCCAGGCAGCCGGCAGCTCCTGACAGCTAGTGTTTGAAAATGTCCGCATACAGGTAAGTACATTCCTTTCGTGTTTTTTCAACATCAACCCTTTCTCTGGATTCTAACAGATTGCCAGACGTCATCCCGAGGCTGCACCAAACCGCTGTCCGGTTTTGATGCAAGAGGCTCAGGTTTTAGATGGGGCTAAAGGCGAACACGAGCGGTTCAGTGTGTCCAGGCGAGACTACACAAGCCTGTTGCAAAAGGTGCCTATGCCCTCATGTTTTCTTCCTTATATGAGGCATCCTTCATTCAGGAATCCGGGTAGAGCAGAAAAGGAACCACAATCGAGGCTGCAGATAAAACCAAGAGGCCAAAACTGGAAGCTCCTTGCAGGAGGAGACCAAAGCTGTGGACCTCTTCGAGTTGTCTTACGTGCCGCCTTCCGGTAGAGGTGGCTCGGTTTGAATCCCACAGAGTTTTATCGGTGCTTTCGGGGGAGGAGCGTCGCAGCGCTGGCGTAAACATTACAAAGCTTGGGGGTTCAACCGTGTTTCGGATCAGCTAGAAGGTCGTATTATATCAAGAACTGTAGCATGTGCGTCGCCAAGCACGCAAGCCTTCACAGATTCTCCAATAGGTAAGAAAAACGCCGGACGCTGGGAGATCCGGGCGCCGGGCGCGGAAGCGCCCATCGAGACCATCGCAGGTTTCTCTGCCTATTATGTGGTTTAAGCTTAGTTTGCTTCCAGGTTCGACAGGCTTCCGTGAGTCAGATGTTTCAGATGCATATAGGGGTTCTGCCACGAGTGCAGCGGCTCTGAGATCCAGGCGGGCATATAGTTTCGGTGGTTTTAATCCTTCTGTTACGAGGGGGTTTGGGCTTGGGTTTGGGTTTGATACTCGGGCTTAGGGTGTAGGGTTTAGCGTTAAGCTGGCAGTGGATAGATACTTGTATTCTTTCAAGGACCTCAACTCGCATCAACTTGAAACAGGATGCAGAGATAGTTTCTGTCTCTTGGCTCCCTAACGTTTGGAACCTCAGCCGGCAGCGCTGAACTTGCAAAAAGCGTGAAGATGGAAGGAGCGGGCTCGCTCTTTTCTGTTCACAAGGCAGATGTATGATGACAATCGTGTGGCTTGAGCCAAACATGACGTTTGGCCCAATCTTCTTTGTAACGTCGCAGCAACACTTCTCGATTTGTGCTGCTGGAGCTGCTCACGCTCAAATTCACTTCTGGTCGTACAGTTAGGCCTTGCGGTCTGCACTCACCGTAGGGTGTAGGGTGCAGTTTTTTTGGGTTCGGGCTTCTGGTTTGAGGCTCAAGCTCAGGGTTTGAGGCGTTAAGCGTACATGTAGCGACCCTGTTTAGGGCTTCAGAACTTGGGTTGCGGAATGCTGTAGGGCCATAGCTTAGGGTGTGCTTGCTATACTTCACTGGACAGGTGGCGACATGCGCGATGTGCTGATAGTCCCGTTTGTTACAGAACCGACAGGGCGACAGGGTCTGCACGCAGCTGTACTTCCGGTAGATAGATGGGATATGTTCACAGACATGAAGACACACACACACCCATAGAGACAAATTTTGCATGGAATGTGAATGTCGTTCACTCTGTTAAAGGAGCTTGGCTAAAATTAAAGAATGGACGCCTGTGTCTATTTTCCCTTCTTGATTCTTGGAGTCGGGCCAGGTGCTTAGGATGTTGGTGTCCGAACGGCTTCGGTTTCATGTGAAAGTGCAAATGCACGGCTTCTCTCGTTTACGGGAGGTGTTTGAGGTGGAGCTGGAAAGGAGTTTTTGGCCTTTGAATCCAAGTGTTCATAGGTTCAAGACTTGAATGCGGGCTTGCAAGGTGGACCAAGCGAGTGTTGAGAGTCGCTGATAGGCAACCTGTTCCAATCAGTTTCTGGTGCTTTGCAACACTGCTCAGGAGATGCCATCTTGCCGCAGGACGCTCGCAGCAGAGAGTGACGTCTTTTGAGTGACTATCACGGCTCTGGCAGCAGCACGGAACGCATGCCAGGTGGCATTGATAGTCCGAAATCGGATTCCGCAGCATTGCCAACTTCTTGTTATTAAACGTGTATCCGTATCCCGAGCCCCGAAACGGTGGAGGCAAGGAGCTTGTTTTCTAGATTGAGATGTGCCCGGACATGGTCGGAGATTGACACAAGGATTTAGATGGCGACCGGGATAATGACCATCACCGTGCTAGCTGCTGGCAATGGTGGTAGCAAGCTGCCATGCAAAGCAATTTGTCATGCAAGTATTCTCTCTTTCTGCCTTTGCATTGTCTCGCCAGTGATACTTAAAGGCAATTTCAACAGCACGCAAAAATTCGCCGTTGAACAAATGCCAGTACTACCGGAATAGCCCATGCTAGCATGATACGGATATGAGAATTTGGCATTGTGGTCCATACCACCGAGCTGTGGCAGAGGTGAAGCTTCTCCCCCTACCATCCCGACCATCCCTAAAACCCACACCCCCACCAGGTTGTCCTCCGCATTGCGACAGGTTTGTCCGGTCATTTAACTGTCTCCGTTCTCTAGGACCCCTTGCAAAAAATAGATCCTCTTCTGTCAGCAGATTTGCGCCTGCGAGCAGAATGCTTTCCCAATCCATCTCAAGCCCGGGATCATGCAATCTTGCAACCACAGGACCTCGGCGATAGCTTTGCAGTGGTCGACACACGGTGTGGTCCTTGGGTGTTTGGCTGTGTGTGTGGTGCTGTGGAGCTTCAGAGCATGGGGTTCAGACGGTAATGGATTTGCTCGAGGCATTTTGTCGGTTCTCAACGCGAAAGGTGCTTACCTCAAGATGGATAACGGGTTTCGGTTCACAACAGTGCTGAGTTGGGTTCAGGGTTCAATGTTTGCCACCTTTGGGTTCGGGTGGTGCAGGGTCTTCATGGCAGATTAAGACGGGAGGCTCCGCAATGGAAGTGACAAACGTGCTGCTTCTTGTGCTCGGAAGGTTTACAGTAGTCCTAAGCAGCTACCTCTGGTCTAAAGTCTGAAGGGTCCTTAAATGGAGACACAGTTTCCACAGTAAACGTGCCAAGGATGTTCCGTCGTAGCTGCACCTAGATTCTGAAGATATGGTCTGACATATCTCCCCAATGCCAAACGCACAGAGGCTTCCTGTTTGCTTTGCATAGACCTTCTAGCTTCGACGTACTAGTGACTCGTGCATAGGCAGCACGCACACAGTCTTTCTCGCTGACTCACTCTCTCTCTCTCTCTCTCTTCCCTCTGCCTCCTCCAAGCAAGCGTATGTGCATCAACTCAAAATCGCTTATGCAATTGGCGAGTTTACTACACAAGCAAGTCGTGTGTGCCGGGGTGGCTTGCGGAGATATGCTATGAATACTGACTTGATCACGCTGCGACTGTACACCGACATGAAGCCGAGGACACGCGATGCTCAGCGGCTCACTCATCAGCCGCTGGCACAGTGCTTTGGCAAAAAGATGTTTCAGGATGAGGTTTGAGGATGGAAACAACAATACGTGTATGTCCATGCATAGCAACAAAGGTCAAGAACTACACACCGAAGATCAAAACATAATACTCGTCGTATTTGCGGATATAGCTAGGAAGCTAGTGGCAGTAGTGGCAGGAAGGCTACCGACAATGAAACGGAAATCAGCACTGCTATCATTACTACAATTACTATTGTTACCATTAGCATGACTACTAGTACGAGTACTAGTACAAGGACTGGGACTGGGACTAGGATTAGGACTGGACTAGTACTAGTACTGGTACTGGTATTGGTGCCTTTATTACTACTACTGCCACTACTACTACTGCTGCTACTACTACTTTCACTACCACCACTACTACTCCTACTACCACTACTACTACTACTACTACTACTACTCCTACTCCTACTCCTACTGCTACTGCTACTTCTGCTGCTACTACTTC